ACAAGATATTTGGTTAGATGAAGTGAGTGCAAATCAGAAGTTAAAGAAAACAATCGACCCTGAAAGATATATGTTAAATATTAAAAATAAGAAGTATAGTAGGGCATCATTATTGCTCAGATGCTCAGCACACAAACTTGGTATCGAGACTGGTAGGTGGTATGGTATCCCCAGAGATGAAAGAATATGTCTTTATTGTCATATGTATATAAACATGGATGTTATTGAAAATAAATCCTATCTTATGTTCAGTTGTCCTTTATACAGAAGTCTAAGGCTAAAGTACCTGGGAAACATACTTAAAAATTGTAATGAAGATTTTTTAGAACTTATGAAAGTATGTAATATATTACATTCACTCATTCTCAATAAGACGTCACAATTGGGTTCCAACCGCTGTTTATAAAAATCTGAGGATAATTGCTGACCAGTCGTAATATGTATTGAAGGTTCCAGCTGTTATTGCGATATATGTCTTGGAGGGGCCCTATGTAGCACGTGGACCACAGAATCACTGGTCACAGCTCAGACCTCCTAGAAACCCAGTCTGCATATCGCGTCTGAAGGTGTCCGGCCCGGGCCGTCTGGTGTATCTGTAACGTCAAGCATTAACAAGTCTTCACGGGTAGATTCCACCAAGGCTAAAGGCAAGGGTAGAAAAGGGAAAGGAAAGAGTAACAGGGGGAAGGCCACAGGTATGAAGGAGCCTGTACCGAAAAGAAAAGGCAGCGGCATGTCACTCGTTCAGAATTACTTCTGCTTGTTCTGCAATGAGCAGTACATCGAACCCATCCGGGAAGATTGGATTCAGTGCAAAAGGTGCTTGCACTGGACGCACGAATCCTGCTCAGCATACGATGGCCGGGGTGATTACATCTGCGATTAGTGCATGTTGTAGTAGGGTCTACATAGCATACCTACGGCTAAACTTCTGTACTGTACGTTACGGTCTGTTGAATTCTGTTTAACGACATTAATTATACTTGGTTCAGTTGTGAAATCGATGAGTTTCGATTACGATGTACTCTGGATATCATTTGCTTTCGGCAGGTGCCTTCAGCAAGTCACTTTATTTTTAGATGAGTAAGTAGATGTCAGTTCTTAAAAGTTGAAATGTACGTTACCTTTAACATCATTCAGGAAATGCAGCTGTTTCATGGTAATTCCATTTATCGCCAAACCATCACTACTACCAAGACCTCTTGTGTTTTTCAAAGTAGGAAGAGCATAATGAATAGCTTTGCAATGCTGGCGTAGCAAGCCACCTAGTTTACCAGAACAACGTATTTGCGTTGATATCGAAAATTTTCTCGTTCATATTTTAACCGTATCGTTTCCTTACCCAAGTATGCTTGATTAAACGTTAGTTCCGATTGCATCCGTGATTTTACCTTCTATTCTTCCCAGGCGATAAGAAACTCTGATTCAAATGGAGTTGAAGCATCTTTTATGGAGCCAGGATTCACTTCTTTGAGGTGCTGTCAAGTGTAACGTACATAACAGTGACCAATTTTGGGCTTCGTGATGCCTGCTATTGAAACACTGTAACATCGTACCATATGGGATCTTGATGCCGAAAATTCTTATTTGCAAGCTTTAACATATATGCATTTCAAAAACATCGCTAAGAATAGTATTTACAGAGGTAACTTTTTTGGAAAATTCTCCCCTGCAATTGTAACGTCTTATTGAGAACGCGTGATTACTTTGCCTTTAACATGGTATATTCGACCAACCTTCTTGGCACCCTGACTTTCACTCAGAAAGTCCTGATTGGGCATACAGACAAGGTTAAGGTTTTGCCCAAGCTGACTACCTTATTGACAAGAATACATTCATAAACTCTATGGAACCATTATTCATTGACAAGTATTCAAACTATTACAGGTTAGCCAATTTACCGGCTCTTTTAAATTCCTTACACTTAATTTTAGCCAATTTACCGGCTCTTTTAAATTCCTTACACTTAATTTATTGAGGACTAAAATGGTGTCTCCGATTTTTACTGGCATATCTAGTTATAAGGCTGTAATTTTTTAGGAGTTTTTAGGAGTAAAGTTTCTTGAAAAAAATAGATCTGCCACTGGTGGTTTTGAGTGCAATTCTCATTCTAAGTGGGGATGTAGAACAAAACCCAGGCCCTACAAGAGGCAAAGGTAGCAGCCGACAGACCAGAATTTCTCCTACTGGACATCTAGGGAAAGGGAAGAGTATATACAGGTAGAGGCATTGCACCAAGAGCTAGCTGCACTACAAAAAACGGCCCAAGAATGTTGTATAAAGATAGAACATCTGTCAAGAGATAACGCAGTACTAAAGAACAAGTGTGATTACATGGAAAATCAAAGCAGAAGAGATAATCTGGTATTCTATGGTGTGGATGAAGATGATCAGGAAACGTGGGATCAGAGTGAAGCCAAAGTTCACCAGTGTATTAGCGAGCTTGGGTTGAAAGGTGTCACACAGATCGAAATACAGGAAGCTCATCGTGTGGGCCAGAAGAGAATAGGCAGATCCAGGCGGTGTACCTTATTACAGTCTACAACCCAGCACAACCGACCACCTTTCTGGTAACTTATTATTGCACTTCAGTGGTCCTTTTAAACATTCGCCGGCTAGGCCAGCCTCCGGTAAACTTAACAGTAAAATTAATGGACCGAGCATTCTCATCTTAGGGGACTCTCCAGTGCGTGGTGATGGCTGCTGTCTTCTGTATGCAATTTGCACAAGCCTCCATGCTGACGAAAGAGTAATGATTACTCCAGATCAGAATGCCAGTCGTATGATGGAGGTGGAACAAAACGAGCAGTTGTACGATGCATTTCGCACCGACGACGATGAAGAGAAGAAAACTACATGTAACCGCTACCTTTCCCTTCAAAATCGTAACCATAATGTTGCAGACATGCTTCTAAATATTGCCTGCAATGCATTGAAATTAACAGCCAGGGTGATCAGGTCGCCCGATGGATCATCAAACGAAACCACCATAATGTGGAATGAGAAGAATGAGGCTGTGACAGTAATTCATGACATATTTTTGACTTGTTTTCTTTATTTAGATTTTCTTTGAGTTCTCACTCCTATATGGCAACAAAAACATGCAGAAAATAGCAGATAACTTAAAAGTGACCCTCACTGCTATGAAAGAAGCTTGTGAGATTGAAGGAACGGTTGAAGATGTATTCACCCTTCACCAAAGCCAGATATGGCAGTTGGACAACTCTTGGGTCTTCTCTTTACCCTGAGAGGACATATGAGTAAGCCCATTGGGGGGGGGGGGGGGGTATAAAGAGTTATTCAGCTCTGTTCTAGTACAAAAGACACCGAGCTGAAGGCACAATTGATGAGAGCACGTAAGATCACCCATGGGATGTCTTTGCAGATATACCAGGCAGACCAAGACCCTGCAGCACGTTATGATAGGTATGCTAGCCTTATTAGGAGAGCACTAAGCAGGAACGTACTGTCTCCATAAAGCTCAAAATCCCACATCCCTACCAGGCAACTGTTTTACTCCGATTGAGATGCCAATGATAAGGCCCCTATGACACCTTTTAAACACCTATTGGGAATGATGGGTCGGACACTATTGATTCAGAGGCTACTACATGGATTTCTAACCCAACCAACGCCAAGTTTACTTCGACAAGACGGCATGTCTGATGAAGAACTGTCAGATTTGGAATATATACGACAACTCATTGGAAAGTGACAACCCCCTGTCGCCAACTTACAATTGTACTACAGAGCATGCTCAGAGGAACTTCCCAGCAATATTGAAGCAGCAATATTTAAACAGGTATTTTGAAAAAACTGGTAAGATTTGCACAGAAGCTCTGCCGTTATTGGCAGCAGATACCACATGCCAAGAAGCCAGCTGCGAGTGCCTGTGATAGGGTTCCTCCAACCATGTCCTCAAAGATGAACATTTCTATGCCATGTGAAATACTGAACTACCTTCCCAACAACTCTTAGGGACAAGACTTTAATTGAGAGGCATATTCAGTGGATGAAGGAGGAAAAGAAAACTAACTGAAATGGAATAAAGACGCCTTTTTATTTAAAACCGAAGATGGCAGTTGAGATATTCATTGCCACTGGTATTGCTCGCTGATAACTGGTAGAGTGACCAACCTTTTATTTAAAACTATGGAGGCTGTTGCCTCCAATATACAGAAAATGGGTGAGGTTTGGGCGACAATGGTAGCCAATAAGAAACCCACCAAACGATCTGCAACAGTCTATGAAGAAGGAGAGGAAAGAGACGACTCCTCCTACTTCGATATTGACAGTCCTATGGAACACAATCAAGAGTCTCCAGTGCCTTTGAGTGATGCAGAAACCGCCATACATCAAAGCAGACACCCAACTCCTATGAATCCAAGTACTCAGCAGTCACCAGTATCTCCTATTGGTCAGGACACCGCCATACTGTCTTCAAATAGATTTGAACCCCAGTGAGTTCAAGGACTCAGGAATTCACGAGGTGCACACAATTTCAATTTAGTTGTTAATCTGATACTTATGGTGAGCTTAAGTGGAGCAAACAATCCGAGTGAAGTTTTGAAAAGTTCGCAGTGATACCAACATAGTGACCCACGCTATTGTAGAGTGGCAGGAAGAACATTCACCTATCGATGTGATCACCCTGCAGTCCATCGTAAGGCCAAGAATTAAATCAGAAAAATGTATACCATCAAATCTGAATAGTATGGGTTCACTTTATTGAGTCTACTTTTCTCCTGAAATATATGTTTTAATTTATTGGAGATTGTAAGACAAAAACACAAGTACCAGGTATACACAACATACACATTTTTTGTAATACTTTTGTCAGAAGAAATGAGGGCACTGCATCTTGAGTTGATACAACTATTCCACTTGTAATAGAAACAACAGGAATAGAACTGCTGTCACCCCAATCTAACAATTATCTTTTATACAGATTATCTCTTCAGGGGTTGGCACAGATTCAAGGCATGAAAAATTATCCATTTATTCCTTGGTTGAGACAGTGAATAGTAGATTGGGAAGCATAGACCCAAACAGGTTAATCTCACGTATGCCAAGAAGTACTGATGAGCATTGGAAACACCTTCATTGCAGAAGCAGAACAAGATTAGTGATTCACAACTGCATGGGAAGAAGACAGGCAAATATTGCCTCTGATTTATAGCCACGATTTTTTTCTTATGAAAATGAATGCCTTATAGAAAGTGCTGGATGCACCATACGACTTTACAGCAAGCGACATGCAACTGGTGAGAAAATGCAATTGTTGGGAAATGAAAGCCCTCTGACTCAAAAAGAGTAAGATAAAAGATTAGAAGAACAAAACTGGTGATTCACAACTACATGGGAGGAAAATGGGTAGATATCGCCTCAGATTTATGGAAACAAAATTTTTTAATGAAAATGCCTTATACAAAGCACTGGATGCACCGTATGATTTCACAGCGAGTGAAATGCCATTGTTGAGAAAGTGGCTCTGTCTACTGCTGACTGAAAACTTGCCAGTGAGGAGTTCACAGGGTGATATCAAGTACTGGAAATACAGTACAAATAGTTTCTCATCACTATGTTTACAAAGGCATAGATCCTATGAAAGAGTGTTGGAAACACCTTCATTGCAGATGAAGAACAAGGCTGGGGATTCACAACTACATGGGAAGAAGAAGGTCAGATACTGCCTCAGATTTATGGCAACAACTTTTTTTCTTATCAAAATGAATGCCTTATACATCGCGCTGGATGCACCATATGATTTCACAGCAAAAGACATGCCATTGTGGAGAAAGTGGCTCTGTCTAATGCTCACTGAAAACTTTCCAACGAGGAGTTCATGTGGGTAATATTAAGTACTGGAAATATAGTACAAGCAGTGATATGTTACTATGCTTCTACAGGCACAGATCCTACGAAAGTGAAATCTGGTTTTCAAAATGTTTACAAACTCAAGTTCAGAATTTTGGCAAATGTATGTTATAATACTATTTGTATGCAATACATTTTGAGCAATTAAATATTCAGTTGGTTTTATGTCCGTGACAACTTACACACTGTAATTTTATGATTATACCTAATGCATTGAGGTCACACCCAATTTTCATGTGTTATTCCTTATATTTCTTATTCAGCTAGTATAACCGTGTAAGTATAAAATCATAATTATGACCCTTGTTTCGGTGTTTTGTGCAATGCACACTTGACTCCTATATATAAAGGCATAGCACTTCTTTTTCACATATGATAACCGTAAGTTAATTAATATAATAATTCTGATACAGTACTTATCGACCCGTAGATGACCTGTGTGCCAATGATCAAATAATATGTACATAGCACTATTAGGTAAGACTGCTACATTTACTACTACATATGGGGTATGGTCTCGTAAAATTATTCATATACCTAAAAATAGAGATGGAATGTTTTGATTCTTATGAAAAATATACAGAATTTTTCATATTTGTCTAACCTTTATCCAGGCACATAATGCCATACCTAATTTAAAATGTTCTTCTCTATTATTCAATGTCACTGTTACACAGAGCAACAGATACTTCATTGATTACCTCGCGTCACTGGGTTTAATAACGGCATGGACTTTCTGTTCAACCTGACTGAACTGATCTCCACTTCAAAGTTCCTCTTTTCCCTCAGTGATAACAGTAACCAGTATTTTCCCAGTGTTCCTATTCTCTTCCATGTACCTGTGTGCATCTGCTATCCGCTCCAGTGGAAATTCTGTGTCTATTATAGGATGTAACTGCCCGCTCTGGAATGCTGGGAGGGCCTTCTCTGTGAAATCCCGGATAAGCTCAGCTTTATACTAAAATGAGAATTTAATAATTTTGTCATAATTCTGTCAATATCCACTTTCAACCAAATTATATTAAATAAAAACAGATTAATAAAAGTAGCATTTCCCATGTTAAACTTGGTACATTCCTTTAAAAAAGTCTGGACCAAAAAATTCAGCTTACTGGCCTTTCAGTAAATCAAGATATAAGAATCCACTAGCCCAAAGCAGAAATAATGGGGCATAACCAGTAACAGGACAACCCAACAGCATATAACTGACCCAACTTCAGTTTTATTGGCATTCCAAGTGGGACAAACATGAAACATCAGAAAGTGTGAACATTGGAAAACAAGTGAGAGCTTTGTGCTAGCATCCATCTAATGAGAAATGGAGGGAAAACTAAAGAGAGGGAAAGGCAACATCATTACATGGCAGGACAGAGTGGAGCATGTTCATAGACATGCATAGGGAGACGTGTTCACATGTGTCACATGACCCGCCCTAAATATTTGAACTCCTGTCCTGTTATGGCACATTCATTCAGTTCAGCGCCACGGACTCCCAGGACGACATTGTTTTACATTTTCACCAGTTTTCAGGGCAGAATTCACCAAATCAGCCAATCAGGGCCTGTTATAGACGAATATAGTTCAGTGAGAAAAAATGAGTGCTTTTTTCCATTTTTTTCCTGGCATTTCTTGTGTGTTGCTAGGGTTAATTTTGGTATCAACTAGCAGAGTAGGGTGTAAACTACTGCCAGTATTTTTTTCAGGACCAGGCACAGGTGCGGTGCAGTCGTGAGACCTCTGGCGGAAGGGTCTACTGACTGTGAGTGGTGCAGTGGTTTGTTTACAAACAGAGGGGTGCACATGTTCAAGTGATGCCGGTAAGAAATATTGTTGAATGACAGTACATTTTTTTGCCATTGGGAGTTATGTCAGTGTGTCTGCTGTCCATGGGGGTGGGAAATGTTTCACAGAACAATTTTATTCATGCAGTTTTGCAGGCATTTCTTAGTATGGTCGTCAATGGGAAATTATTTGGTGGTTTCTGCCCTGAATTCAAGGTTATCATGCTTTCAAGTTTATATGTACCATAAATTTTAAGTTTACGGAATTTATTCAAATACACAATCTATGAACTCAATAAAAAATATTTTATCTGTTCTTATCCACAGCAATGATACAGTCATGGCAACACATTCGTTCATGCATGTGGGACCAGTGTTAATGTTACACATTGCTAAATATAAGAAAAGACCTCTTACCTCTGTTGATCTGGCCCGCAGTGTTGTTCCAGTAATATTGATCCTTTTCCTCAAAATTTTAGCCAACAGGTCTCCATTTATATTACCACCTCCTACATGAACACAAGAACAAAAACACTTTTAGAAATACATTAAAATTCATTAATTACCAAGGTTATGAAAAAATCCTTGCCACAATTCACCTTTTTCAACATTAATTTACGCTGTTAATAAACCAATCCACAACTATATGTTCAATTGCCTGCCAAGATATTATAAGCTTGATTCTTTCTTTAGTAAAGCCAGTCTGAGTTTCATACACAAGCGTTGTAAAAGATAGGCAATCAAGTAATCAAGTTGTCAATATCTCAAACTGCAGCAATACTTTGAAAAATAAAATGGACCTCTATATGTGAAAATGAACAATAGTTTCAAATGTGTCCTTTCCATCAATTCCTGGGGCATTGCCACTTATCTTTGCAATTAATTTTCAAGCCTTACCTAACAAACCATAAAGAACCCATCTTCCGTCTACAGCCAGTGCAGCAACATTCCTTTCCCAGAAAGAGGCCCCTATACAATCTAAGATCAAATTGACGCCTTTATCTGAAAATATAATGTTGGTGTATTATTGCATGGCATAAAAACATCTGAAGAAATTTTCTGTACTTTAAAAAGGGGGAAGGGGTGAAGAAGAGGTCAATTTAGTTTACTTGTTTGGTAAAATACCACTACCAGTCAAAGTCCTAGGACACAATATCAGTGGAACCTAAAATGTTCACCTTCATTATCTTGAAAACTTGAGTAAAATATAAAAAATATCTGCATTATTTTCTCATCAAAATCAATATTTACTCATAATTTTCATAAACCTTATGTGTTTCAAATTGTAATGCAAAATATCATTTGTCAGTATGATCTGTGACAATCCATGTGCATGGAATATTTCCTAACATCCAACCACGATTTGGGGTACAGGGAGTCAGAAATGTTGATCTGAAATTTGATCACCATTGAGTCTTATAACAAAATATACAACCATTCCTCAAAACTTCCTTAAGCCTTCCAGCTGTTTTTTAAAAGTATACAGGCCATCCTAATGACAACTGCAGGGATAATCCTGGGCTGGGCGCTTGCGCCAAATGCGCGAGCCTTTTCTCAAAGGCGCAAGTAAAATTCTAACCTGCGCCATTTTGGCGCGTACAAATATAGCAGAAACTTTTTTCATAATAAAGATCTCCCTACATAATGATGTCGCTCGAAGTGCGCGTAACGATGTTGCGAGGACTGACATGTGACCCGTTTCACAAAAATTTATCGAAACTGAAACAAGTACGCAATGAAAAACACACAATGCTCAAAACACTGAAAACAGGCCGCACGCGGACCTCTGAGAACACCTAACTACACGAGGTAGATAAACAAGTATGGCTTCTCAGTTTAGTCAGGCCGCATGTTGAGTAATCGATAAGTGAAAAGGAGAAATATTCGTCTGTTTTTTACAGACTAAATTTCAACATCTTTTTTTGTAATTTTTCACCTTTAGCGGCGCTGCATGTCTCTAAATGAAGGACAACATCATTTTCAATGCGGGAATATGCACAGTCATGATTTAAAACTGCCCATCATATTATATCCACCTAAAGGAACCAGCTTAGATATTGAAAAAAATGCACTTTTTTGAGGTGGGGACTGTGCAAGTGAAAATTAGCTGGGGGACAGGTGAAACTTGTCAGCAGTAAGCCTGAGCGGACAGGTGTCCTGAAAAATAAGCGTTAAGCCCTGCAGCAGTGTAATAATCACAAAAACTTCATGTGTAAGTACTTTAATCGATATGCCAACTAATTTTAGTAATGTTATGTAGTTGCTTGCTAGATTTTTGTGTAAACATAGATATATGTAAGACGGGTTTCTCTCAGCTTAGATCATTGCTTTAATTATTTTCAGGTTAAAAAAAGAATGCAAATATTTTGAAAAATAAAAATTCTTTTCACAGCAATGGCTTTTTTTTTTCACAATAAAATGGGATTGTCAACCTTTTCCATGCAGTGCTATTACTCAGCACAGTACAATGAATAATTTTTTGGACAGTACAATTGTTAATTTGGAAAATTTTTCCACACACTACAATTATTTAGAACTCAAGAGTAATAGTATCAAGCCTTTTTTCAGTGTTTTTAATCATATAAAAATATTGGAATATAATGAATTTTCGCCAAATAATACACGGCACACATTTTTTAAAAATGGCCCACTTTTTTTGACCAAGTGGGCCAAAATGGCCCAACCAGATTTTGACCCAGGACGATCCCTGCAACTGGATGGCTCTCTAGAGAATACTTTGCTCCCAACTAAACTTACTGTCTGTGTGCTTCAATACATGCTTGGCAAAGTCCTCTGTTTTGTAGTTGAAGCCAGCCTCGGCTCCAAGCTCTAGCGCCCTCTTTATCTTCTCCTCAGAACCAGCTGTCACCAAAGACCTGCCACCTATGTGATAAAGAAAAAAACTTTTCAATACACTGGGTCACTTGGACAAAACTCAGATAATTACTCAGTCTGAATCAAATTCCACTAAGATAACCTTATTTACTCCAAACATAACAAACTTACAATTAGTTACTGGGGGAGCCAATTAAAAAAGTGTACATTTTACACTCCCAAACGGAGGAATAATAATTTGACAAGTCTGACTTCAAATCAACTGACCATTCGCCTTTTGCGCTGGAATGAAATTTCTATTTTCACCCTAAAGGGGCCCGCACACGGTGAGCATTTGGCGCACGCCACTTGCGCTGCGCCGTTTCTCATCGTGTGCGGGGGGTATTTTGGTGATATTTTTGCCTCTCGCGCGGCTGAGCAAAATTTCTCACGTGTTTGATTTTTTTGGTCTCTTGAGGCAAATGTCTCAGCGTGTGCGGGGTGCAAGCGCCGATTGCTCACACCATGCCAACAATGCGCATGTGCCGGTAGCCGGAAACAAAGAAAAATGGCAGCCCCCAGTGAAGTAAACAAAAATGTACACAGTTATAGTTAGTCTGATTGATTAACGTGGTCACCATTTGCCATTACTTACAGAAAAAAAAATAAATATGTAATGTTTCCTTAATCACATGATCCCACAGTTCGCAGTGCGTCCGATAGGGGCAGGCCGGGAGG